TTCTTTGTTGCTGAATAAAATTGCTTGTGTGCAAACTGCAGCATGTTAGCCAGAAAGCTAATGTTGCTAATAGGAGAATTCTCGTAGTGTGGTTTTCACTTCGCTGACGTCATTTCCAGCAGCGAAGTCGATGTCCAACAACTGCCAAGCCGGATTTTTATGTTGCTCAATCTCACCATAAACCAGTTTCCGTTACCAACAGGACGTGTTGTTATAAAACCTGACCCGAGTCGCTGTGGTACATTAGCTTAGCCGAGATGTGTGTCACCCACTTTGCTCCCTATTTATAGTCTGCACCGGGCGGAATGCGAGCATTCGTGTGTCGACGGGCTTGTATTAGTGCCAACCATTCCCGGCCAACCTTGTTTTTTTATCCAGGTGGAGATTCACCATGTAAAATTTGCGTTCCGTTTGCCAGGGGAGCATGTGTGAGCCATTGTCTGATAATCACAGTGTTTTGAATCGACGTGACTGGTAGTCATTGTGTCATCTCCAGTGTTTTCTTCTCTTTTCGGCCTTTTTTTAACTTGATGAACAGGGAGTGGAGAAGAAAACCAATTACTTTGACATTTACATCCATTAAACTAATTCCGGGCATAGTCAAAGGACTTCCCTGGTAGTCACTACAATGTTGGCATAACACTGATGCTGCACATCAATGCTTGAAAACATCCACAACGAATATGTTGGAAAGGAATGGTAATGTTCTCTGCCAAGTTGCTGGGTGATATTAAGGGAAACCATTACTCTAACTACAGAAAAGCACTTAGAAAACAGCCATTCCAATTCCCACAACATTAATACTCTCTCCTGTCTGGAAAATTAAATGCAGGTTCGAAATAATTTTGCAGTCAAGGTTTTGTCAAACACTGACACTAGAATACACACTCAAACAGTATTCATCAAAGCTTGTTGTTTGCTTTCTTCACCAATTAACAGACCAACCTTTAGAAGAAAACACTTTGTTTTATCCTACTCAGGTCCTGCTTTACTATATGCTTTAAAAATCAAATAGATCTAATCTAAAATAGATTTAGCAACATCTTCAATGTCATTTATATCATGGCAGTTATGTGTGTTTGCACTGGTCTTCCATGTCTGCATTTCTTGGCATAACCCCAACTGAGACATGTTGTCTATTTCTGTGAGTAATGTTATGCCCTGATTTGCTACCAAGTAAACTCTAGTTGTGTTGTGTGTCCTTTTCATTTCCAAAGCTAAAGCAGCTTTGACTAATCCTGTAAGGCTTTTAGCCTTGCCTTGTGTCTCCTGCATGTGTGTTACAGATCAACAACATTATAGATTGAGAAAGTATTGGACAAGAGCCTGTGCCACACTCTGTCTTTTTCTTATTGTTTATTAAAAAAAGCATTTAAACCTGTAAAAAATTGTGAGAAAAGTATGTTGGTCATATAAAAATCCATGCATTTAATGAATAATATAGTATTGTATTTTGTATTCAGATATTGTCATATTGCACACAGAGTTTCTGAGGGATTATAGCAACCTCTGAAGCAGCTGTAAATTAGATTTTAAAAATTACACATACATGCTTGATTGGAAAACATGGTTCTGACTTCTGGCTCCTTAATAAGTAAGTTGCCCTTGGTTTGTAGACAAAATAAGAAATCATTTTAATACATTTTCCACTGCTTGATTTTTGTATTTTTTCCAGACAAAGTGTTCAATTAACTATTTCACAAATTCCATCAATACATCACCAGATTAATTGTTTTTATTGCCATCAGCATGAAGATCAAGTTTCTACAGTTTTTATTTCTTTAAGAAACTTATAAATGGCCTTGTGTGAGACCCTGGCTTTAGTGATAATGAAGAAGGTTGAGGTTCCTGTTAGTGACTGTTTCTTTTTCCTCTGAGGAACATTTTTAGGATCACAAAAGAAAATGTTTAAGTTCATATAAAAATGGACCTTTTTCAACCAGAATATTAATCATATTTCTTTTTTTCTGTTTCTCTTCTGCCTTCCAACCATTTCCTATTCCCCTCTTCTGTTTTTTTTTATTCCCCATTTCTCTCTAGATTTTTTTTGCTCTCCTTAGACCACACTGTAACCAACCTTCCAAATGAGTGACGGGGAGTGTGACTTCTTCTGTTTCTTCCGCTGCTGCTGAGTGAACCTCTTATGTGCCTCACGCAGAAAATACGACAGAGTGACCCTGAGGAGTGGCACAAGCTGGGAGAAAGGTGGGCAGGGAAGGTGTGGCTCTAATCGAGACATTATTGGCAATTTGACCACAAAGATCCGACAGGTGGGCGCGCCGTCTACCTGTCCGGGTGATTGATTCTCTCGACTGGATGTCTGTGGACATGAACAGCCAGGCCTCGGACAGCAACGAGGAAGACTTCGGGGTGAACTCTGAAGAAGAGGAGGATGAGGATGATGGTGGAGACGAGGAGGACCAGGGTGATATTGCGGCATACTACGAGGGTGTGGCCAGTGATGTGGAGCAACAGAGTGCTGACTCCTTTGATCCAGAGGAGTATCAGTTCACCTGTCTTACCTATAAAGAAAGTCAGAGGGTGCTGACAGAGGAGGTTAACACTGTGGCTGCTGCACTGAAGGTAGGACAGATATTTGAGCGTTTACACAACAATGTTGATGAATACTGATGGTGACAAAAACTGAGAAGGGAAGAAGTATGCGGAAACAGAAGTGCTGATGCCATTCCTTAGATAAAAGGTTGCACCAACATGAGAGAGCCATGTTACTCTCTCATGTTGGTGTTAGCATAGTAATCTTCTTTTCAGATGGTCTTTGGTTTGTGTGTTCTATGTAATACAAATAATATTTATTGCTAATATCAAAGGAGGCTTTCCACTCTCGTTGGTATTTCCCATCAGGTTCCAACTATGTTTTATCACCTCCTACTCTAATAGTAGAACAGAACAAAGACTTCATTAACTCATTGTCCCACAGTGTTCTTCTTTTCATGTCAGGCATGTGTCATGGAGACACACTTATTATAAATTGTTTCTATTAATAAAATTAGCGATAAATGTGCACTGATAATTAAATTGTTCTGTAACGCTAACAGTGTTGGAACATGCAGAACTTAATTGTATTACAAAGCCTAGAATAATATTGTTTTCCTCTATTGTAGAGCTCAACTTCACAGAACAAATGCATTCTCTTTGGAAGTCTTTCTAAAGAAAGAAACCAATCTTTTTGTTTCATATGGTTTATATTTAACCTACTAGAAGTCCATTTTGGTTTCATATTTTCAGCGATGGACCTTTATGGGTACAATCTCCATGTCCTTACTGTGTCACAAAAACACCTTGCCTCACATTCACAGTTAGACATAATGTCACGAGGGAGCTGCTCTGTCATCAGTTAGCATCACTGTGATGCTCTAACCTGAGCAGCTGTGTGTTTTCTTAGGAGTAACACACACACAGACAGAGGCAAAGAGAGATTCACCACAGACTTGTTTTTCTCCTAGATTCCAGTTTTTCTATTCACTTTTGGCTCTCAGGCCTGGTCTGTAGTACAGAACAAAATACTTCTAAGACTCTAGATACTCTTTTTGTCATTTACCTTGCATTCTAAAGGCAGCTACATTGCTGTGGTTATTGTAATCAATATCATCAGTATTGCGTAGTGAAAATATAATAAATACCTTATATTTCTGTATGTTTAAATGATTATTATGACGCATACTTTCTTATATAACATAGTATAGTATAATGTAATTTTATCATACAGTGGTTTTATAGTGTAGCTGTTAATACATCTGTCTTACACGCAGGTCCTGCAGCGATCCCTAGATCATCCCCATACTTGGCGCCTCCAAGGGTCAGCATGTTGCAGCAGATCTGCTTCATGATTCAATAATGTATCAGTGAGCACGCCTGTCTTGCAAGCAGAGAGCCCTGGATTAAATTCCCAGAAAAATCATGTATGCCTAATGGCGCCTCCTGTGGCAGCCTGTGTCAGTTGCAAAGACTTGCACTATAAATTTCCCCATTTCCAAACGAATAAGGGACTCAATAATAATAACACTTATCATCATAGTTATTACCATCACTGTCACTGAAGCATCTTCGCAACAGTCTTCTCATCAGTCTTTGTTCTTTCTCTTTCTCTCCTAGGTTTTGCCAGCAGTGGCAAAACTGATCCTGGTGCATTTACATTGGCAAGTTTCACTAATCGTTGAAAGGTACGTCTCTGTGGTCACTTTATTGTCCTGACTGTACAGTAAATGTTCATTCTGGAACTGTCTTCGTGTCTTTAACTTCCCTTTTTTTTTATTTTTTTTTATTCTCTATCAGAATGTTTTCTTTCACTTCCTTTTGTATTCTTCCTGCTTTTCTTATTTTGAATTTCACTGTCTGTAACTCTGTTTCTAGTGTGTTTTTTATTTTTTATTTTCTCTCACTAGTTGAGCTCTGGTTCTTCTGTCTCATGTGTCTCACAGATATAAGTCCAACTCATCACTGCTGTTGTCAGATGCTCTGGTACAGCCCAGCAGCCTGTGCAGATCAGCCGCTGTGAGTAACTGACCAGATTAATTATGTACATTAGAATTATCTGGTGAATTTGGTCACAAAATATAATAGGATTTTCTATCTTCTCTCTTAACTACCATTTAATAGTGTTTACTTTATAGATATATTGTTTTCTAAATAAACCATGTTTTTGTCTTTGAAATACTGAGGATTAAATTAAAAGCAATTTTAGTATTTAGTAATGTTTATTGTTTTTCTATATAATATCAACTCTACAGATTGACAGTTAATGGATAATACATTTAAAATTGTTTGTCCATCTATATTAGTATTCCTCTCATGGACCATGCTAATAATCCTTGTGCTCTAGCCCCCTCAGTCCCTCCAGTGTGGCGTGTGTCTACAGGTAGTGCGGAGAGACTCCCTGTTGGCACTGCCATGTCAGCACTCCTTCTGCAAAGCATGCTGGGAGCAGCACTGCACTGTACTGGTCAAAGATGGCATGGGTGTAGGTGAGTGTATATATGTGTATGTTTGTCATTAAAGCTGGTACTGGAGTTGATGATGTCACACCTTTAGTCATTCCTCTGTGGGTTTCGTTCCAGCTACAGCTGTTCATCTGCTCTGATGTTTTTATCAGCTGATACAGCTACCCCTGTCACATGGTTGTGGGTTTGGCACAGTGAGCTCAGACAAACTACTGATGACTTTCTTTTGTTTAAATTTATTACAAATCCTTAGTATTTGAAAAGGCATGTTATCCTTCATCCATTGTTTTGATGAATTTGTGTGGTTCAGAGGAAGTTCTGCCTCTGCAGTACAAGATGATATTGTGATAACAAGTGTATACATACTGTATATGCAAGTCACCAGGAAAGCATATGAATGTTGAGGTGTATAAGCTGTTTGTCATTAAGTTCCATGCCGTCTATGCTTGGTGTTCCGCTCACTATGTTGTTAATATTGCTCATTAAAATTAGTATTTGTCACTCTGTGCCCTGGTTCTAGTTTGTCCTTCTGCGTATGATAAGCGTTTTACTATGACAAGGGTGAAGGACTTGTCCATTGATACAGTCTTCTCTCCTCATCAGCTCTCTGGGACACTCTAGAAACGCACACAACACACACCATGATAGTCAGAGCTACTGAGTCACAGAAAACTTTATTAATAAAATGATATGTGGTCGGTTATATTACCCTCGTAAGACTAAAGAATTGTGTCGTACATGTGCACAGGTATCTCATGTATGGCTCAGGACTGTTCCCTGCAGATGCCTGAAGACTTTGTCCTGCCGATGCTTCCTGGAGAGGAGCTAAAGGACAAATACAGACGCTACCTCTTCAGAGACTACGTTGAGGTCTGTTTTTTCAGATTAGATACACATTCAGGGTTGGAATTAAGACAGCAGGTACATGATGGGATGGATATTTGAGATCTGTCCCACATCCACCCTCTGGGCAGCATTGAACCACAATAATAATACTTTCATGCAGGCTCTGTCCTCCAAACTATAGAGAGTTGTGTTTTCATCAGTTCCCAATGAAACTGTCCAGATAAAAAAAATATTCCCCTTAGTATTTCCCTTAACAGCCTGCACATACACAATTTAATTTTGACATTTTACACTGACCACAGTTTGATAATAAAGTGTTGTGTAACACACTCTGCTCTGTTCGGTGTCTTTCTCTGATTCACAGAGTCACTTCCAGTTACAGTTGTGCCCGGGGGCAGACTGTCCCATCGTCATCAAGGTGCAAGAACCCCGAGCACGAAGGGTGCAGTGTAGCCGCTGCAGTGAAGTCTTCTGGTATGAAAACTGCATTAGAATAAAAAAAAAAAAAATATATATATATATATATATATATAAAGATATATATATATATATATATATATAAAGATATATATATATATATATATATATAAAGATATATATATATATATATATATAAAGATATATATATATATATATATATAAAGATATATATATATATATATATATAAAGATATATATATATATATATATATATACATATATATATATATATATATATATATCCATCCTGAGTGCAAAACTTACTCCTGCTTATATTTAATTATGTTCAAGCTGAGCAACAAATTTAGGGGAGGAGTGTGAGAGCAGAAGTTTACATACATGTAGTTGTGTAGCTTTTGTCCACAGCAGTGAATTTGCTCTAATAATAGACTAAATAAATAATTGTGTGTTCTGTTTTGGTGTAACTTTGATTGAAGATATAGAGGAGCTGGATAGCTTTGTGAACAAGGCCTGTAGTGTTTAAATGTGTTGCAGTTAATTCTTTTAACATTATTACATGATGCCACAGTTTCTGACAGTTTGTCTCTGTAGGTTCTCAGTTATCCAGCTCATTTTATTTTGAAGGAGTTGAGAAATAGCCAACTAAGCCAGTCCAATTATCTATTTCTTAACTTCTAATCTGTAATTCTGTTAATATTTCCTTAAAGCATCAAGTAAGCCTCTGTCTTTCTCTGACTTTTTTCTCCCTCAGTTTTAAATGTCGTCAGATGTACCATGCACCAACAGACTGTGCAACAATCAGAAAATGGCTGACTAAATGTGCCGACGACTCAGAGACGGCCAACTACATCAGTGCACACACTAAAGATGTATGATCTGACTGCAAATTAACACACACACACACACACACTCCCAAGAGCAATACTGAACGAACACAAGTAGTTGGTAGTGCTGCTGTAAACACACTTGTCACATATTGTGTTACAGTTAGTGCAGTACATAACAAACAACAGATGCTCTACAGTTTTAATTTGCTGAACATACTGTATAAAATGAATATTTACATTAATATTATGTTGTCTCACTTGGGTGTAATGCTGTGGATTGAAGGGATGTTTTCTCTTCCAGTGTCCTAAGTGCAATATCTGCATTGAGAAGAATGGAGGCTGCAATCACATGGTGAGTCAGAGCTGAACACTAACACCTTCTCAGTACACCGTAAGTGCTATAAATATATTCCCTCTCTGGGAGCTGAAATCCTCTGCTTTTAATGTTTGACACAGGTTCAGCTCTGTCGCAGGAAGCATCACTTACCTGTTGGGTCTGCTTTTAATGGTGTAAAAACAGAAGTCCTTGTAAAAAAAAAAAAAAGGTTATATTTTACTGGTATTTGTTTAAAAAATAACAATCTACCACTTTGAGATTGAGAGCTCAGTCAGATTGTTGTGCTTTATGTAAATTTGTTAACTTTTAAAAAGTATTAAAAGAACTATTAAAATGTTCTGGTCTGTTCTTAATTGTCCTGAAACATTTAGCTTATCATTCAAGCATCAAATAGATGGGAGTGAAACAAAGAAAATCTTGGTCAAAGTGTTACTCAATGTTTTTATTGTTTAATTTTTCTTCTCTTTTTTTTTTGTTTACAGCAATGCTCCAAATGCAAACACGGTGAGAAATGTTTCTCCATTGTTTTTAAGTTGTAGCAGGCAACAGGTTACTGACCATCGTGGTTGTGACCACAATGGTCAGTAACCTGTTTATGCTGATAATGTCTCCTACAGCAACAGTCATGATTACAGAGCATTTACAGAACTTTCTGAAATAATTATAACCCATTGTTAAAGAATCATATTTGAGGAATTGTGAAAACCTGATCAGCTGACGTCAGATGGATTTGGTTGCTTATAGTTTTAAGGCTTCACGCCTTTCCTTAGTTACTTTCTAAACAGGACTCTGCATAATGAGTGTGGCGCATGTGTGGAGCTGGAGCCGTAAGGCTGTGTCTTGTCTTTCTGACAGATTTTTGCTGGATGTGTCTTGGTGACTGGAAGACTCACGGCAGTGAATACTATGAGTGCAGCCGCTACAAAGAAAACCCTGATATAGTAAACCAGAGCCAACAGGCTCAGGCCAGAGAGGCCCTCAAGAAATATCTCTTCTACTTTGAGAGGGTGAGGATTTTTCTCTCATCATTAGTGCTTTCCTTTTAACTTACTGTAGAAATGAATATGTATTAGAGAAAAGTTTATTGTGTAGCCTTTTGTCTTTGTTGTGATTTCATTTTCTGGGCTGGAAAAATTGTTTCTCTCAGTCATGTGAAAAGTGAAAAGTAATGACTGCGTATCTTTAATTGTTTCTCTCAGTCATGTGAAAAGTGTTTCAGTCTTTCACAGGCAAATACCAAATATAAACTAATTAAATTTGTCTTTTCATTAAGTGGGAGAATCACAACAAGTCTCTGCAGTTGGAGGCTCAGACATACCAGAGAATCCAGGAGAAGATCCAGGAGAGAGTTATGAACAACCTGGGAACCTGGATCGACTGGCAGTACCTGCATAATGCTGCAAAGCTACTGGCTAAGGTAATTAAAGAGTGGAAATTGAGCTCTTTCTTATTTAAACATAGCTGTTATACACTAATTAAGCAAATGTATGAAACCAGTTGATTCACATAAATGTTGTCTGTGACTGAACCTTTACATCTTTAAATTATAGTTGTATAATACACTCTTACCCTTTTCCCCACTGTATGTTTTAAAAACTAACTTTAGAAACAGTTGAGATGATGTTCTTCCATTTCCTCAAACTTTGCTATGATAGTCACCAAGTTTGTTTGTTTTTCAGTGTCGCTACACACTGCAGTATACATATCCTTACGCCTATTACATGGAGTCTGGCCCACGCAAAAAACTGGTGAGAAAGTTCTTCTGTCTGTTTGTTTTGGAACAGTTGATGTAATTGCACATTGTGTCTGTAGTAAGTGTCTCCAGACCAGAGCTGTTATTATCCTTGATTGTAATTGTATTGCTTCTTTATGATCTTTTATTTTTGCTGCAGTTTTTTTTTCCGGTCTGAATATTTCTTCTCTACCTTCTGCAGTTTGAGTACCAACAGGCTCAGCTGGAAGCTGAGATAGAGAACCTGTCGTGGAAGGTGGAGCGAGCCGACAGCTACGAGAGAGGAGTGGTGGGAGGCGAGGGGGAGCTCAGTGCCAGTGACAGAGGGGTATGAGAGCATAATGCATGACAGGGAGTGTCATTGTAAACACAAATAGAAGTGGAGGAGGAGGAAAACAACCACAAGAATGTGTGTGTTTTTGGGGGGGTTTAGCAGTTGTACTTGTCATGTACACATACAGAGTGAACACGGTATATTTAAAGTCAGGAGTCCAAAGTATGTTTGGATTTTAAAAGATCTGTGTTTGGTCTTTTCCTAGATAATTTGACTGTAACATTTGTTCTTTGTCACTTTTTTTTTGTTGTTTAAAAACAAACAACATTGGCAACCTGTGCAGTTTAATGTGTGTCTATGGATGTATTGTTTCCCAATCTTTTTTTTTTAAATACTACAACAATTCAAACTTAGAGGAAGACAGTTTTTGCTTACAGTTAATTAGAAAGTGACAGACAGTGTTTGTTGGAATAAAGGAGGATTTTATTTAGTTAAGAGTTTATTTTATGTAATTGTAGAGTTGACCAAATTGATATCATGGCTTGTCGTCCTGAGCATAAAACCAATTGTATCGTCTTGTAGGATTTGGAGAATCAGATGCACATTGCTGAGCAGAGGCGACGTACGCTGCTGAAGGATTTCCACGACACCTGAAGCTCCATCGTGAAGCACCAGCATCTCTCTCCTTACTTCCATCCCCCTGCCCTCCCTTCCCTCCATTTCTTTCCATCACCATCCCACGGTGCAGTTGTACTGATCTCCTTTTTGCTTCTTAACACTTGTTCATTTTGCTCCGTCTCTCCCATGATGCTGCAGGGTCACTGAATGGCATGATTGTAATTTTCCCTTTATTATTCCTCTCCTCCTCACTTCATCTTCATGTTTCGCCCTTGGAGCGTCAGTAAAATTGGCTACACATGTTGCAGCTTTATATTTCAGATCATAATAAACGTGTGTGTGGGTGTCTGTGTCAGGCGGCTTTTAGTTCATATTATTGATATGAGCAGCTCAAGTGCAACCGTTGTTAACAGTCAGGTGTGAAAGCTGTTTATGCTGCAAGAGACATTAAGCTGCTGGTGATGGGGAAGCTTTTGTAAAAGAGATCTGTAGAAAAAGCCGTTTGATTTTCATTTTGGAGACATTGCTGATGGAAGACTTCAGTAGTTGCATTTAGACAAAAATGACTAGCAGGATCTCTCTGGTAGTTAACATTTATCATGTACATAATTAAATTCTAGTTTCCCCCCTTGAGGTGAAGTGATTCAATAATGAAAAAAGTCACATTGGTTTAAAAACCAATGTGACTTTCACTGTGCAGTGGTTCAACCTTGTAACCATTCAGGACATGTGCAGCTTGACTTGGCAGTAAACAATAGCAGGTTATTCTGAGGTGCATCCATGTGTTGTGTCAAAGAGTGTTTCCACTTACAAAATACAACTTACAAAATACACAGAGAACAAACCAAAATTCAGTATTATTCCACACATGCTGCATCTACATAATATATGAAATGACTAATAAACTCTCAATCCAAGTTTTTTTTTTTGGGGGGGGGTCTGTGTTCTTACAAGCAAGACTTTGAAGTAGCATTGCCTGCTGTTAGCAAAAAGCTACTAGTCATTCTACTCTAAATAAAACTACTTCATGACATTCTTGCCTCTTAACATTCTCACACTGGTGCTTGATTGTGATCAGCTCATGTAGTTCAAAAACAAGTGAGAGCCTGAGTGTCTGGGTAAAAATGTAACACCTCTGATCAGATGATGATGTTCTTAGCAGCAAGTGTAAACTCCGGCGCACACACAATACTACAGCACCACCCACCAACACGACATTCTCAAACACTCCGCTGCAGAAAACAAACTTTACCTGTTGATTTACTTTCATCCCTCTGTCGAGCTCTCTTCTCTTTCACTCATTACACCCCTGCCCTTCTCACTTTATTTTGCTCTTCTTTTTTCCCTTCTTTTGTCTCTATTTTTGCTCATGTTGTTCACTTTTTTCTGGAAAAAAGTTGATAGATAGAATCGTTTAAAAAAAACAGAAAAGAAAAAGAGAAAAAAAACAAAAAAATGCTGTAATTTTCAACGGTTGTACATTAATACAGAAATAGAGTTACTGAAAGAGTTTTTAAAACCAGACTCTGTCTTGTGTGTTATTTACATTCATGCACTCACTCATTCACACTCACAGTGAGTTTAGACTCCAGATAAGAGATCAACAGAATTATTTAATGGATTTATAGCATTGATGTTTCTTGTTTCTATAAACAATATGCATGACTGTAGCAGGTAATTACAGAGACACAATCATATTTGATGTCTGATTACATCACATGCCTTGTTTCACTTTGTTTATGTTGGTGTGTAGCACCTTATTTTCACCGCAAAGGCCTGTTAAAAAAAGAAAACACAGCAGATTAAAGAAAGGATTGTTGAAGAAATGTCTACAATATATGTGACAGTTTTTTGGTTGACTTGGTTAACTAACTATTTTTGTATGGCGAGCATATACTTTTTTTCAGTCTCTTGCAAACCATAATCACTACATGTAAATTAAGTATTTTATTATATAAATATGATTTAAAAAATACTTCATTGCCCAACTTCTTCTGTTTCCTGACACTAGCTGCGGTGTATATACTGCAGAACCTCGTGTCACCTCTGACATTAAAAGATTGGCACCTGGTTTTATGTACACCCCCATTTGTCAGCTGCCACCTAATATAGCCAAGTGAAAGAGGGAGCCAAGAAGGTATTAACTGCACCCACTTGCACTATTTGACCTTATGTGTTTGTTCACATGAGGGAATGGAGCACAGACAAGACCTGCACCACACTGCACCCTGGTTTCACAGAAGGGAACAGCAATGATCATGTCTCTCATCAAGAAGCTTTTAATAAATGCTGCATGCCACTGCAAAAAACGGAAAATTTCAGAAAATACAAAAATTAAGTTTTACTCAGACCAGAAGTCAGAGTCACTGGAAAACTATTATGACTCAAAGTGTGAATGTGGTGATGTGACCAGGATGTAGCCCACATTGGCTGGGCCTGCCTCCAGCAACCAATGTGACCCTTAACATAATAAGCTCGGCTTTTGTTTTTGTTTTTTTTGCACCTTTACTTATTCTTTTACTTATCATCTTTTTCATGGTTAATATTTTGAATTTTTTAAAACTCATTTTTGGCTAAACACGAAGTTTAATTTTAAAAAGCATTTTGGTCCAATGTGGTTTTATTAAAGTAATTAGCAAAGTAAGCAACAAGTAATTAACAAAAATAGTTGGAATGAGGAAAAAAGACAATTGTGCGTTTAAGTTGCTATACTCACTAGAATTATGACTACTATATATTTTCTATTTTCCGTTTTCAAATAAATAACCAAAAGAAATCAAATCATAATATTGTGACAGTACATGTATTGTTTAATTATAATTAATTTTCACTGTAAACAAATTGTTGTTTATCACGAATGCTGCAGAACAACTGCGTTTGTGTTTGACGTGTGTAATCTTGGCATTATATGTATAAAATAATGTTTTCTTGCTCATTCATCACTGACATGTATTAACACAGACCCGTTTTAAATATTTAATATGCTCTTTTGATGTGTCTACTTCCTGTGTATAAATAATTTCTCAATATGGCTTTCGTGCCTGGACTATATTTAACAATAATAGACAACGTTAATGCTATTTTTAAGGCAAGAGGCGGGTCTCTCGGATGTGACGTCAGTATCGGAAACACACGACATACGACAGTAATAACGCACATGTGGCGGAGAGGTGAGCTATAGACAGAGGCTGGACATCGAGCCGGTGTAAATAAATGTCCATACCGGTGCTTCATCTCACGTTATAACCAGTTAGTCTCTCAAACTGCAGTCATCTTCTTCGGCCACACGAAGGCTCGCGGAGCAAGAAGACGGAAGAAGTGTTACGGTAGAGGAGTAGGTCACACGCGGCGAGAGAGAAAGAAAGTTCTCGCTGTCTGTTTCCCGGGCCTGTGTATTTGTGACTCACAGTTTGCACCGCAGTGTGTTTAGTTAGTAGTGACCAGGAGGAGCTGGGCTGGACATTAAAACGTCATGGCGGACTTTTTAATCAGCGGACAGACCGGTTATGTCCCGGACGACGGTTTCACGGGGCAGCAACTGTTCAACGGTGGAGACGGGCTCACGTACAAGTAAAGACACGTTCATTTTTCCCATTTGAAAACCTGCTTCGCACACCCCTTAACCCGTGCTCTGACAGTTGACATCATAATAACTGAGCTCGCTAATGTCTACTTCATGTATATGGACACATTCCTTCGGGCTCACTGTCACTGAACCGAGCTGACATGTTGAGAAACGACACCAGCAGGGTTGAGAGAGAAGCATGTTAGACACATGACACACAGCTACTGGAATGAACCAATGGTGAATTAGAAGAAATTAAAACCACAGTGGTCTATTTATGACCTTTTAACCGACTAGTCGATCAGGGGGGATATTTAGACAATACCCCATGTGAGAAGCCGGTCCGCTGTGTGTACTGTCAAAGCTATTGTAGCACTAAAGCCCCATATTTCATACACAGCAAGTATACAGAGCAAATATGACAAGGGAAAAGGCCTCATGAAAACAATGAATTAAACAATCAGTGACTAGGAAACTACTAAGTGGACAACAGCTGTTGCTTATTTCCTACAAGATATATTTATATTTATGTATATTTATATACATATATATATATATACACACACACATTATATATACATTTTCTGAATGGGGACAATGTTCAAAGACTACGACCCCCTTCATGATGATGGCAGTTTAATAACGGTGTTTGCATTCTTCTTTGAGTGACATTAGTCAACTTTGAAGTTTGACCAGTGATTGAATTAGTGATTGCATTGCATTTCCTCTTGCTGATAACTGAAATACCTAATATTGCTACTCTACCCCTAATCCGCCTATATCTCCTTTTCTTCACTTCTGCCGTTTCCTAACTACTGGTCTCCTTTCAAGAGTTCATCTATGTAACCTAATTGTCAATCCTGCTCTTGTAAGTCACTTAGCCGAAAAGCGTCGGCTCAATGCATAAATATATATATAATAATAAAAGATTAGGAGTTTAAAAGCCACACATTTTAGTCGCAGTCTCTGAGAATTGAGACAAGCATGCATTCCTTACACAAACACACTGGATCCAAATTTAGCGCCTTGCTCTCACCAGACTGTGTTGTTGTGATTTGCTGTGAGAAGCCCTTCTATATCTGGAGCAAACAAGTGTCTCACTCTCCATTAAAACAAATGACCCAAATTCATTATTCCTAATATAATTCATAGGCCTTCACTTCTCTATTGCCAGAGCAGTGTAACCAGTAAAACATCTTTCTACAAAGCTATTAGGCTGCCACTGATGCAACATTGTATAGTCTGTTAATGTTCTATTCAATCCTAATATTTGAAAAATACTTAATTCATCGGAAATTGTAACAATATATTTAGCCACTGATTAATCAATGTGACATTTAATCAGTTTCTTGTTAAAAATGTGTCCTTGTTTGAGCTATTTCTTTACCTATTAGTCAACTGACAACATATGTTTTAAGGCGATTTAAGTGTAACTTTTAAACAATTGTAGACTTAAGATGTCTTAAGCTTAAGTTGAACTTATTTAGGGACATTAGTTTATGTGTATGTATTAATGTTGAGCCAATGGTAAGACCAAACTTTACCCTTGGGCCCTTTAATTCCGTCACTTCACTGCTCTGTTACATGCAAAAGACGTTTTTAATATTTGGGGTCAAATGGTTGACTTTCATGTCACATCTCATCCTCTGGTCTCTCTGTCAGATGAACCTCTGCGTGACTTCTAAACATGGTTGTCATAAATCACTGCAGAAACCTGTTTCAAAGGTGCCTGTAATGTCACATGACACGTGTGAGGATTCCTGAAAAAGACTTTCATGTTACGTGTGCTCCGAGTAACTCAAGTCACATTTTCTTCCTTGAATCCCTGCTTGGCTTTCCAAAATATACTTACTGTTTACATAACCTGACAACTTAACATTGTTTTCACTAGAATCATATTTACTCAGACCGCATCAAAGCTTTGAAAGTCATGAAGGGACCACTGGCTCAGTACAGCCACAGATTTGCCACAGAGATGGACAGGTTTGTCACTGTCAGTTTAAAACAAAAGGGAAATGCTTTTAAACATCCTCAAAATGTCCTTAAATTTTTTATAACCCACAATGAATTTACTTTATTGTTATTGACTTATTGATTAATCAATAAAATATTACTATTCACTTCCAAACTCTTGTCTGCTTCTGTCTTTCCGTAGTGATTTTCTGATTCTGCCCGGTTACATCGACTTCACAGCAGACCAAGTGGTGAGTTATGATGATTTTATCCCCATGTTGTTGAGTTCTTCTTTATGTATAACCAGACCTGAACCTTTCTTCAGACATTCTTCAGATTGTTTAATTCAAAAGGAGCAGTGTTCGTAAACGTGTAACTTCCTCTGCTTGGCGTATCCTTGGTGTTGTTCTAAGACATTAACATAGAAACATGCAGCGATTCTTACCATATAACTGTCTGTCATACAGATGAACAGAATCATCTGTGTGAACCATACACTGTATTTGTTTCAACTTGATGTCTGACTTGTCTGATTTTTACAATTTTGTTTTTAAATAAAGATAACTCTTAAATAATAAAGCCGCTTGACATGTTTTTGCAATATCAAATAAGTATCATTGAAAGGTGAAGAAAAAAGTCTGATATACATTCATCAACTGAATCGTGTGTTATTTTTCTCAGGATTTGACATCAGCTCTCACCAAACAAATAACCATGAAGACACCGTTTGTCTCTTCTCCCATGGACACGGTCACAGAAGCCAACATGGCCATTGCCATGGCAGTAAGTCTGATCACGATACAACACAATGTCGAAGCTGATTTGTGCTTCATTGGCGATAATACAAATTTGCGCTCACATTTAAATAGTCAATAGTGTTAAATAAAACATCCAGTAGAGGGCACAAATGTACCATCTCCTGATTGATCTGAATCATCATCAGCTCACACTTAATTAAACTTTAACTTTAGCTCACAGGTGGAATCGGCTTCATTCACCATAACTGCACTCCAGAGTTCCAGGCTAATGAAGTGCGGAAAGTCAAGGTAATAATGTGAGCCCTCTTGATTTTTTGAAATGTATTATCAAGTCAATTGATTTTGATTCAATTTGATCTGATTCTTGTTGGTTTTTGTGATAATTCTCAGGGGGGGTGGGAGGGGTTTGTCCACCTAATCTAAATATATCTTCTGTTTTCTACTTGTTCTGTTCCCTAGTCTCTGTGCTCAGAGCCAATAGAATTAAAATCTTACCCTGAACCCTGTATGTTAAGCTGCACCCTTTCTCACTCGTCTTTCCTGTTCTCCTCTTTGCGACTCCTAATCCATATATCTCTTCCTCTAACCCCCCGTCCTTCATGTCTCCTTTAGCGTTATGAGCAGGGCTTCATCACAGACCCTGTGGTGATGAGTCCAAACGAGCGAGTACGGGACGTCTTCCAGGCCAAAGCTCGCCACGGTTTTTGTGGCATTCCCATCACTGACAATGGAAAAATGGGGGGCAAGCTGGTGGGCATCATTTCCTCCAGAGACATAGACTTTCTGAAGGAGGAGGATCACAGTCTACCACTAAGTGAGGTGAGTGAAGATGCAGCATAGACAACGTACAGTATTCATCAGCTAAGGATTTAAATAAGCAGTGATAGAATTTGCAGTAAATTCACAAAAGTATTGCTCATCTTATTTCTGATTGCCATTTTAGTTAAAACAATATAAATCAGAGTTTAAGTTGTTGCCATGTCACCATCTCCACAGGTCATGACAAAGAGAGAGGACCTAGTTGTTGCCCCAGCTGGAGTAACATTGAAGGAAGCCAATGAAATCCTCCAAAGAAGTAAAAAAGGTAAATAAACTGATGCAATGGCATTACAGCTACTATTCTACTTGTACAGAAATATGAATTTAAACCATATTTCTCCATCACGCCCCCTGCAGGTAAACTGCCCATCGTGAATGAAGAGGGTTCCCTGGTATCCATCATTGCCCGCACAGACCTAAAAAAGAACAGAGATTTTCCTCTGGCCTCCAAAGATTCCCGTAAACAACTGCTGTGTGGCGCTGCCATCGGCACTCACAATGATGACAAGTACAGATTAGACCTGCTGGTGCAGAGCGGGGTGGATGTGGTGGTGTTGGTAAGGAGACTTTAATCACAGTCTACACAGTCGGTGTTGTTTAATAAACTTCACCTGGGTGGAGATCCTGTAGATCATATACCAGATATGTGACATAAAGTTACATTTGTCTTATGGTCATTTTTAGTGTCAAAGCAAAATGGTGTGAAACCTAAGGATTCACACTACTGATTTAAGAAGAGGACAACATGAATGTACTGAGTTTCTTTTAATAGTTTGGTTCCCCTTTGCCTACAGGACTCCTCTCAGGGCAATTCCATCTTTCAGATCAACATGATCAAATATATAAAAGAAAAATATCCCCACCTACAGGTCATAGGAGGCAATGGTAACTACAATCAGACATAACTTCATACAATACACAAACAAATCTTCGTTTGAATGTGTGACCAGAGAAATACATTTTCAAATTACTGAAGTACAGCCGATCTTTACGGATTATTAAGACGACAATTGTTTTTTCTGTGCTGCAGTGGTCACGGCAGCTCAGGCCAAAAACCTCATTGATGCCGGAGCAGACGCTCTGAGGGTGGGCATGGGCAGCGGCTCCATCTGCATCACACAGGAAGGTGAGAGACAAACAAATGCATTCGGCTTTATTAACTCTCTGAAGCAACAAAACAGCCTCTAATGTACTAAAAGTACAGTGGGAAAAGTTAGGAATCATCCAAAGTCTGGACCGCACCACAGTCACAGTGATTTGTGGGCACTACTGTGTTGGTATCATGTGTTGGTGGAGTGGAAAACCATGGCAGTTGCAGAGAGCTATGGGAAACTGAAACTGGACATTGAAACATGTTAATAGAAGTTTTTTTCTTTTTGGTTCTCTGAATTTTATAATTCCAGTCATTCCCGCTCACATGTTGGAGAACTTTAATCCTACCTTACTGAGGCCCTGGGTCAATTTTGGTATTTCTCCTGAGCCACTGTCGACCCTCACTGAAAGCTATGTTATGTCCTATTAATAACTGTTATTTGAAAGGACTTTTGGATTTATCCACTACCTCTGGTCATATGATCCTTTGATACATCTGAGATCGTTAGCTTTTCCTATTTTCATTTTACTTGTGCTAATTTTTTTCCATTTTTGTCATCTTCATTGTCTCCTTGTCCTTCCATCTGGGTCCCTTCTCCATCCTTCCTGTTTTTCCTTAAATCCTCTCTCTAAAACCTGTGCGTGTGTGGCATGTGTTGGGGGTGGGTGTGGATGTGTGTCCGTGTCCAGCTCCTCTCACTGTACCACCAGCAATAAAGCTCCACAGCCCCAAAACCCCAACCACTGTTACAGGATTCAGCAGTAAGTTTCCCCTCCCCTTTGGCCTGTGCTGGTCTTTCATTGGCTCCAGTATCACAGTGTGACATCCCGACTCCCTTACACCTTACAGCCTGCTGCACTTGATTGGTTAACAGCCTGGCTTCAGTAGAGACAGTAGAGTTAGTGGTTGGAGGTTTGTTTTAAGCTGGCTTCAGGTGAGTTGGGGTTTTGGAGTTTGCCTGTTCCCACGTCATCACTAACCTGAAAGTCATGCTGCTGATGCGTTCCTCCACCTACTGAACTGAATGATCACATCATTAATGCTGAAAGTCAATGAATCAGTGACCATTCAGTGATTTCCATTGGTCAGTTGGTGGCTGGCTCTGGTCCGTTTCCACATTCTGCTGCTTTTGTAGTTTGTCACAAAAGCCCCTATCCCATCATTCCATGCTGTGTCATGACCACACTCTGGTCTCACACTCCATGGTATGTTCTCCATAGTGTAGAGCTTCTGTAAATGTACTGGATGGTTGTACTTGATGATAAAAGAAAATGTCTTCATATTCTTATTTTTTTCTGTTTCCTGTCATCACTTGGTTTTTAAAGTGGGCTAAGAGAGGTTAGGTATAAAGTATTTTGTTATGTTCGTTTAAAGGCTATGGCTCTCAGACAGCAACCTCCACCAATCGTTCATTCCACAGAGTCAGTTCTTGGAGTAGTTTTTCGTTCACGACTGACCAATCACTAGTGTTGATTCTCTTTGACCAACAAACTTTAAAAAAAAAAAAAGATTTCTGCTCCTAAAATATCTGTAGGTATTAATTCATGTGTGTGTTAAGGAGAAAATAATGCTTTACTTTGCCCAGCCCTAATATAGAGATATAAATATTATATAAACATTTACAAGCTGACTGAAAGTGACTTGAGCATGATGGACAGGTTCCTTAGTTTGGTAAGTACCGTGTTGTCCAGAGATGAGAGAGAGAGAGAGACAAAAAAAACACTATATTTCCAAAAGGAAGTGAACTGTTTCTACATGTTAGCTCTGATATATATTTGGTATGTATTTGATAAATGTGTACAAATCCAAACCTTTCTGACAGACAGATTCTTGGTTTTGGAAATTCACAAAATAATAACTTAAAATTATTTTGACAATTAATTAAATCCACGTCTCACTGGGTTTAATTCCATGAATAACTCTTCTGCCTCTTCTTCTGCTTTTCATTTTGACACCAACACAGACAACACTTTTCTACTTACATGTGGTCTTAACATCTCTCTTCAGCAGTGCTGTCAGAAATGAACAGCTCTAAGTTCAGATGGTGAAAAAAAATTGGTACTAAAGAATACTTTGTTGGTCTTTTTTTAGTAGCTGTGTCAAAGTAAAGTAAAACACAAGTCACTGTCCAAAGATACTTTTAAGTGGAACTATAAGTTGTTTCCTTATGTTCCTCATGGTGCAATAGTTGATAGCAGGCCTGAGTGGGATCAGGTTTTCTCCTTGTCTAAAAAAATACTGTAACCAACATTGAACTGTAAATGATTTGAGACTCTGTGTGATTAAAGATTTGGAAACCTCTGGGTCTTCGAGTGAAACTGACCTGCTGATGTGACATTTTTAACTTCCTTTAAATTCCCTTCTCAAAAATGTGTTTTTACTCCTCCTCTTCTTTGCTGTGTATTCTATTGCTATGTAATATTGCTTGCTCGTAACAGCCGGAAGCACAAAACCTCAGAAAATATAAGCTTTCAACTGAGACAAATGTGTTTTTTCAAGACCTAAAATATGATTAAAAAAAATGAAATAGACCAAGATGATGATTTTTTTTTTTTTTTTGGCAAAATGATTCAGTTAAAAGTTTGCAAAACAGTCTCACTTCCATGTTCCAATAGAAGAGATATTTGTATATGATACTGCGACTTTTCCCCCCAGTAAACCCTTGTCTCTCTCTCTGTCAGTACTTGCATGTGGCAGACCCCAGGCCACAGCTGTGTACAAGGTCTCAGAGTACGCCCGCCGTTTCGGTGTCCCAGTCATCGCCGACGGTGGCATTCAGAATGTTGGACACATCGCCAAAGCTCTGGCACTGGGGGCATCCACAGGTACTTATATTAGTATATGTGAATGCTTATGGTGGATTATTATTATTATTATTATGTATTCCAATTTAAATATTTTTTTAAACTGTGATTTTTTTTCCCTCCAGTAATGATGGGTTCATTGCTCGCCGCCACCTCTGAAGCTCCAGGTGAATATTTCTTCTCTGACGGCATCAGGCTGAAGAAATACCGAGGCATGGGTTCGTTGGATGCCATGGACAAAAACCTGGGCTCCCAGACCAGATACTTCAGGTAACCAAACAAATCCAACAGGTGACAGTGTGCAGTTCACTAAGATGTTTTATTTTTTAATGGGTCACCCGGAAATAAAAAAAGAGAACAAAGTGAGTGGTTTTGTAAAGGCCAGTGTGTTTTTCAGAGATAACTTTTTGCCAGGCTTTCCCACATGTCAACACTTCCTCATTTTAAATTCAGTTTGTTTTTTGGATTCAGTGAAACTGCTGTGGTAAAATATGCTGAGTCCAATAAAGTGTGAAACAGAACTTTTTAAAAATAAAAGCATATCAAATCAATTTCTTCATTGTGTGTGACTGAAGCCACGAGGTGGCGGTACAGAGGAGTAACGTTTTGAGTCAAATTTCCGTGACAGAGAAACAGACCTTGTGCTTTTGTGGTAGTCTTAATCCACACGTCTCCTTCTCCGTCTGCCCACAGTGAGAGTGACAAGATCAAAGTGGCTCAGGGTGTTTCTGGGGCAGTGCAGGACAAAGGCTCCATCCACAAGTTTGTTCCTTACCTGCTGGCTGGTATTCAACACTCCTGTCAGGACATCGGTGCCAAGAGCCTCACACAGCTCCGGTACAAACACTCACGTGTCACTCCCTGTATCATTGCTGTCCTCAAAGATTAGACATTTTTTAGATAGTATATTAAATTACCCAAAAAAGCACAGTGTAATAAACATTACAATATTAACACTTCCTTGAAAAAAATTGTGTGGTGTAAATCTTAGATTACACAGAATGTGTTACTAAAGTTACTTTTTTTTTTTTAATGACTCCGAAAACTTTGTTTTTCTTTTTTTATTATTATTTTGCTTCACACAGAGCCATGATGTACTCCGGAGATCTGAAATTTGAGAAGAGAACGTCTTCAGCCCAGATGGAGGGTGGAGTCCACGGCCTTCACAGGTACACACCGTTATTGTTTGAATCTCAACTTCTTCACTCAGTTCCTTTGTTCTGTTTTATCCTGCATTGTCTTCTCTGTCCCACAGCTATGAGAAACGTCTGTTTTGATGTCGGTCGGCCTGAGGATGAAGAGTCTCTTCCTAAAGTCACGTTATGCAAACACAGACAAGTAGCGTTCATAGCGTACTAACACGCTAGTTGTGAGACCTTCTCGTCTTCTTTGTCCTCACTCTTAGCAAACTTCTCACAAATTAGTCTCATACACTCCGTGATTCTCCAGACCATCAGTCCGTCCCATGCATCACTTGCGTCTGTAAAGGAACTAAGGGAACTATCTGTGGGTGTGTGTGACTGAGTCCTCAGCTGGCTTTCATCATGTCTCAGTGAACTGGTTCTCACATTTTTAGGAAATCTGGTGTCCAGTAATAAAGCTGATGTTTTTTCACAAGCAGCCTTTGTCTGGTTTTTCATTATTTGTGGAACTTGGTAGAAAAAAGTGTAGCAGAAGAGAGGAGATTTGAAGCAATAGCTGTGTGTGTTGACACGTGTGTGTGTGTGTGTTTGTCCATGAAGTGTACTTGGCACAAAATGTCACCTCTGATCTCGTATTAAAACTAGTGCTCCCATTTAATTAGTGTTTTTGTTTTTTATCTTATGCGATGAGGTTTGTGGACACGGCAAAGTCAACAAGTTCTGAGATAAATGTTTCAACACAAGCTTTTGTCAAGTTTGATCTTTGGATTTTTGATGAGACGCTGATGTGTTGGGTTTATTATGATTGCTTTTTTATTCAACCCTCAATTATAAACAATTTTGAGTTCAGAGCAAATGATCTTAACCACACTGTTTAAATAATTGAAGGTGTACAACAGGTTTTGTTGGAGCTCCATCTGAATGAACATTGAAAAGGATTTTTATTTCTGTGCTGGACTGTCCTGGAGAACTGTAGAACTGTTTAGACCTAAATGGAGGACGTGTAGAGAATAGCTGTGATAATTTTATTTATTTGTTTTTGTGACGCAGCCCTGTTTCGGTTTAACATCTCAGATCAAGGCAAAAATTATTGTAACCTAAAAAACATCAACAAAGCCTTACTGCATGTTCAGTTTCATTAGACTTTGATGACAACAGAAGACGGTCAAGGAACTAAAGGTTGTTCACGACTGCCTGATTTTAAACATAACTTTATTTTGTTTTACATTTTTAAATCGTCTTCCCAACAAAGACAAGGTGGCTTTAATTACAGTGGACCTTGATGTGTACGACATGTCCATCTGTCAGAGCGGTTAGCTGAAATCAATCTATGCTCCACCTGCTTGGCCTGTAGTTATCGCTGCAGCAGCTCCCCTGGGAAGATCAGCTTCTCCACCAAAATCCACCGGACTTTCCAGATGAAACCCAGACGGGATGATAGGACTGCTGCAGTCACAGTCTGTTGGTCACACCTGTCCAACTTCATCCATCATCTGTCACCATGCAGACACTTGTGATTAAAAATTAACAAAAGAGTAAATTAGCAGATGTCTGTTCATGAATTAGGAAGAATGATGGAACATAGTCACACTGCATGTACAGGCCATGTAAATATAAAGATTAATGTTGGATAATAAGTTTATTTTCGTCAGTATTATATACACCTTATACTGAGGGTATAATAATTATTAGTTAAACTGGTAAACAAGGTTGAAGATGGTCAGTGTTAAACTCAAACTTGACATTACTTTTTCTATCAGCTCTATAACGACTCACAATAAACATAAAATGGAGAATCAAAATTGGCTTTTAGAAGAGGAAGTAGTAACTTGTAACTTGATAGAAAAACCCCCAACATTATACCCAGTATTCTCCAATAGTCTTAAATGTCACATGGACCAAGAAAATGCCTTTTAAAATATAATTTAGAAATACTCACACGCTTACCACACGGACGACAAATTGACAATAATTCCTAGTTCGCAGAAGCTATTATTTTGTTTTTGTTGTGGACCTTTTCTTTCCTCCATAGCACAACCCTCACAAATGTCACAAATAGTACATGCTACAAAACATTAATTTTCTAGTTTCAATTCACCCACAATTTCCATCTTCAGTATTTAAAGCCAGCTTATTTAGTTCAAAACAACCCTGTTATACTTGCAGGAATTGGACAAAGACACAAAGATCTTTAATTGACACAAAGGTCTTTAATTGTTCTGCTTGTCGCTGTCAAATTGACCAACAAAGACGGATTATTTGCTGTGAATATGCAGTATTTTCAGACTGATTCAGTTGAACTGAATCATTTCCCATAACTTATCTGATGAAATCTCACTAGTGTGCCACAGCACAGAGGTTGAGAATCAATGCCCTGAATCATGTGACAGTTGACAGTGAGTAAAGAAGAAAGATCCAATTGGATGTATATAATATAGAATTGCAGGCATCTCTGGTTCTGTGTGACAATGAGCAACATGATTAGTCTGGGTCAGAGCCACTGTTAGTTTATCATTATTTTACCAAATAAAAAATATAAAAAAATAATCAAATAATTGTCTCTGTGTTTTTGAAATGCTAAGTAACTCACAGCCCAATTTCTATCAAAATAATATAAACTTAGTTGTGATTTAATTTAATTACACTTTAAAAACTCATAAAATTACCTTTTCTGATTTTTTATTTCATTATTTAAAAGCTGATTGGAACTAAATAATCTGAACATGTGGGACAGAAAAATAATATATATTGTTTGACATTATTAATAAAGTATTGAGGTATACTTTGAAAGTATTTCTTATTGTCTTGGAACTGTCTGTAGGTACTGTACTTCACACAGAAGGACTGCAGTCTGGTGTCAAACTTCTGATCCTTCTCTAGAATGTACCTAGAAAAATCACTTCAATATTATTTTACATTGTCTCAGTATTGTAGTACAGAGTACTACAAGTACAACTCAAAAAGTGACATTTAAATTCATACACACTGAAGTTTAATGTCTTTTCAGACTTTGAAGGTATGGTTTTAAGGGGGATCCGATAAAAAGTCTGTACAGAGCATATATTTATTGTCTCGTGTGTATACATTTACATATACATGTACTTTTCTGACCAGTTAAATACGCTGTTTCCGGTTGTCCTTCTTGGAAGTTCGTGGGTGACGAAAGGAAACGGGGGGGAAGGAGGAGTTTGGTGTGATGAGGAGAAGTGAAAGTGAAATGAAATCACAGGGGTATTTAAAGAGGAAGTCTCAGCTGTGTGAGCCGTAGCTGACGAGGAGCGGGAGAGGAGAGAAGCCTGTGACATGTTGGTGAGTGAGCTCACCTCTCTGATCGACACTCGACACTCGGCACTCATTTAACCTCTGATTGACTTCAGTCGCGAGCTGCTCGGTAAACTTTAAAATGTCTTCTCGGCCTTTTTTTAGTTTTAATCTGTGGGTGAGTGGGAACATCAGTGAAATTCAGTGTTTTACTTCAGTTTCTCTTTTGGCAGAGTTAGTCAGAGGTCGTCTTGTTTTTTATGACCGTTTATGTATATTTGACTCGAGACTCAACGCTGTGTTAGTTCCCAGGTTTATTTCAAGCCTTTCTGAAAAGAAGAGTCTAATGCTGCTCCAGGTCACAGCCTACATCTGTATTTAAGCTTAAGAAGAAAAAAACTGATGTCAATCTCTTCCTTTTTTATTCAGATCTCCGTCCCTCCCTCCAACTATCTCTCTGTCTGTCTCTCAGTCTCTCTATCATTTGATCAGCTCCTTCTCCTCACCCCGACCTCTCCCGCTCCATCAACATCTTATTTTCTCATCCTTCAGGTTTTTCAAGACTGATGACAAACATCACAAAACAACAGTTCAAAAAAAAAAAAATAACGATCCTTTAAGCGATAGCGTTGAATTCTTTGCAGTGGTATGACGTGAAGAAAAAAAGAAAGAAAAAGAAAGTATGTGCCCGGTGTTTAGAACGGTGCCGGGTTCTGACACCGGCTGCGTCTCAAAGTTTAAATATCAGAATTAACTTTATATTGTTGTGACTGATGTGATGTGTGGAAACCCTTATGTTTTCGTAACAGTTGGAGTGATGTGGTGTCGATTTTTTCATCTGCTGTTGGTTTGACTCAGAAGTGTGAAGATGCAGGTTCCTTTAAGCGAATGAGGTTTTTTCTCGACTCAAACTGTCAAACTGTATGAGTCATAGCAGTGGATGACGATTAAATAACCCCTCATCCCTATAGAATGAGGTGATACTTCCGGTCGTTTTACTGGTGAATTAACTCAGACGACTGTAACTCATCTAAAACCAAACCCTGTACAACAGACGCTTTCTAATGGACTGTGTGAAGAACAAATTGAAAACAATGTATACAATGGCGTTTGCCTTTAAAATGAAAGTAAAACAACTGGAAGTCTAAAGGCGACTCTGTTGAAAATGTCTTCTCTACTTAACAGGGAGTGTGCTACTTTATTTTCTTATCTGTGTCTTTCATTTGTCAGATAATAAAAGTATTGTAGTATAACAGAATAGTAAGGTACTTAGTAGTACTTTTAAATAATTTAAATTACAAATATGTAATTGTCAAAGCCAAATGTAATAGAATTTAACAAAAATATTGTTATGAATAAGCCAAAACATAAAGTTTATATTAGTTAAAACAAGGCAAAACATCTAAAAGTTAGCAGAGAAATTGCTCGCCATAAGGTGGAATGTTAAATGAATGATCATTTGTCCTTCAAATGATTTGAAGTGTCCTAAATCGCAAGCCCTTCCATGATGCAGTACCACAGATCCTGTGATTTAATGGTTGTTTACTGCACATTGCATACTGTTGTCTTTTGGAATTTGTAAATATAGCTAAAAACAAAATCAATGTATATAGTGTTTCTTTTTTACTGACTGTTTATTTACCTTTTTTCAGTTGTCTCATCTAGACCAGAACATTCCGCTGGTGGGTGGGATTGTAACGGAACCCATAATGCAGCTGTGATTCTGGACTCCAGCTGTTTATGAGGTCCGTTTCCATCCCACAACACACAGGACGGCAGGTTCTTCTCCTGTTGTCATCACACTAGGAAACTTCAGAGAAGTGAATCTCCGACTCGGCACAACTCGCCTTGTTGTCCTGATTTTGAAACCGCAAAGCAAACCACTTTCGTTTTAATTTAATAGCTTTATCATCAGTCAAAGCTTTAAAAAGGTAAGATAGGATAGCAATAGAAACATTTTTGTATTTTATGTATTAACTGAAGTCAGTGAACACAGTGAATGGAGCTTGTAATAATGATAATAGTAATGAAACCATTCAGCATCATAACAGCTACAGCTGACACTCAGCCCTCATCCAGTAGAGGAAGGACTTTAGTTTTTAGTTTCTGCCTGAACAAACAAAGTGAAAGTAGCAACACAGAGGCGTCTCAACGCTCAAATTTAGGTGTATTTTCCTTAATGACACGTTTTCTCCCGGATTGCTGATGCCACTGGATGCAACCGGGAATTTCGTGTCAGCCAGGAATGACACCAAAAACAGCGACTTTTTATTAAATATAAGTCAGTGCATTCACATCAACAGACAGTGAGATTGCGTATCTCTTTATTTAAAGCTCAACATGTTGAAGATTCCATAGGCATTTTCCACAACAAAGGTTTTGTGTTTTCTGATGTTGTGATACATTTTTCAATCGTCACAATTCGTTTTTATGGTAGATGTGATTTTTTTTGTTTTAATCCAAAACATTTCTCTTCAGTATATGACAAACTTCTTTTTGCTCTCAAGTTTTACTAACACACTTGAGAGTAAATAAAGTATTAAGAGTATTAAACAAAAACAATCTCTGACATTAAGACATCAAATCGAGAAAAAAAAAAATAGTGGAAGAAAAAAAACAACTTCCATACCTGTGGTGTAAATGTTAGTCTCTACTTTAGCACAGTGTCTGACATGTTGCATATTGACATTATAATGACAAATTTTACTGAAGAATTGTACAAAATACCAAAAATCATCCTGCTGTTGCTGATGCTTTAAAAGGTTTGTACATTTAAAACAGTGGTAAAGTAGTACTAACCAACTAACCAGACTAAAAACTAATGATTCCTAAGATAAGTACAACTTTTTTTGTTCTGCATAAATATTACAATAAAAATATTTGATGCTGTTATTGGACTGATGGACATCAGTGTTTCCTTTTGCTTTAATGTAATACTCCATTTTGCACCACTGAGTTATGACGTGGTTTAATCATCTTTTCTAATGTAATACTCCATTTTGCACCACTGACACCACTGCGTTATGACGTGGTTTAATCATCTTTTCATCAAGTGATTATATGAAGGGGGTTATTGCAGCTTCAGGTGATAAGGTCATGTGCTTAGGGTTGGACACAGCCTTAACTTAGCAGACATATTCAAAAGTAGGTCAGGAAACAGACAAAAGTTAGATAAATAAAAATTTGAAAATCTGTTTGAAAAACTTCAAATTAAAAAAAAACAAACAAACCCAAACCAAACAAAAAACGCTCTATCATTTAGCTTACAAAGGGATTAACCCAGAGATTAATTAGCTAAGGTTAACCAAATGTTATTAGAAAAAAGCCAAAAATATAAAAGTAACCCATCATAAGAGGAGAAGAGCATGAATGAAACACCAGTTCTGTATCAAAAGCAAAAGTAGTGAAGCAGAACTAGTGCCTGCTTTGTGAGTCAAGGCCGGTTTTCACGTACATTTGTGACAGTGTAGAGAAAATAGAATCAGGCTGTAAGGATGAATGGTCTCTAGAACTAATTAAAAATGGAGTAAAAATAAAGAGGAAAATGGACAGGCATGTCAGACACAGGACAGTCCCTTGCAGGAACAGTCCTTCAGCTGTCTGAAGACGATGAAGGAAATCTAGACAGTAACCTGTCCACCAGCTCAAGGTGTCTCTCATGGTTTTGTTTAATGATGTTGTCATGCATGGTCGTCAGCTGACATATTAGATTGTTCTGCATTTCCCTCTCATGCTCCATTAACAGCTGCAGTCGTGCGTCTTCCTGTGCCTGCATGGCTGCGTCCATTTCACCGAGCTGGGCGACCGTCTCTGACACTAGAGCAGAAACTTGGTCCATGATGGTGATTTTTCTTTTCTTGGGTGAAACCCTGAAGGCTGAAAAAAAAAAAAAAACCACAAGGGGGTTATGTGTTATAATGGCTTTCGAACAATTAAGATTTTCATATATATATATATATACTTTTTTCTGTATATTGCTGGAACAGAAAGACATGGTGTAATTTTTAGTGAGGAAAAACAACATAGGAGCCAACAGTCACCAGTCTGTGTTGTTCTTACTGCACTGGTGGTTGGACACTTTTGAACATTATTCTTCTAAAAAAAATAGATAACACGAATTAATCTATGCGTCAGCACCGTAATAACGCGTTAACTTTACGACTACAATAGGTAGCAGTATGCCTCCTGACTGGTTGCAGGTTTGCTAGTAAGAAGTGAAAAAAAAAAAGGTTTTGTTTGTGTGTGTGTGTATGTATGTATGTGTATATATATAAATATACTACTTTTTTATTTAATTTTTTTACAATTTTAGATAAAGTTAATCGGCAGTCTGACTCGTAACAAGAATATTAGGCTATTCAGCTTATGCTAACAAAGCCTGAGCTAAAGGTTTACGCTTGGTAACAAGCAATAATATCTACTATTTAACTGCTTTGTATATTTGTTTAACACATTACTGTCGGAGTCGATGCTTTATCTAGCAGTTGTGGAGTAGTGGTGAGTATCACGGTTCCTTTTAGTGATCCGAAACATTTGGCTCCGTTCTCCGTGAAGAGCCGGCCCGTCGGCATCCAAACGGTTCAGCGCATTTACATACGCTTGGAACTCCCATACGACTCAGTGCAAACATAACTGTTAAACTACCAGCTGTAATCAGTTATTGACATTATTAAGTTATATGACATTGTAATATCTACTTTCGTGTACCTGGTGCACAAGGAGCAGACAGTGTAGTTGTGGCAGTAGGATCAGGATCGCCATCAATCGGAGCTAAGTCGGGGGCAGGAGTAGACTCGCTCAACTTCCTTTTTACCGCCAACTGAACATCTGGGTGCACAGCTCTCAGGTGTCTGTGAAGATTGTTTGTGGACCCTCCTTGAAACGACAGCTTTATTTTACAGTGTCTGCATTCTGCCCTATTGTTGTTAAGGTTATCAAAGTGAAACCAAATTTGGCTTCTTTTTTTACTGTCAATCCCACTCATCTTTGTTTTCGAGCACTGTACCGCTTCTCTCTCTCTCTCTCTCTCTCAGGGATGTTTCGGTGAGATTGAGCCGTTTCAACGAGTCGGATCTTTGAAATAAACGATTGGATTCGGATCGGTTTCTTGTTCAGTCGCACGAGCTGTTATATGGTAATCACCGAACAACAGGCGGAGCATAGCAGAGTGACTGAATATCACATGCCTGGGTGCAACCAATCACGACAGGATTTACAAGGACCGTACCAGCCGACGAGGGGTGCGCGGTGCGTTTAGAGACTTTTACAGAAGCAGAGAAACGAGAGGAAGACGGAGGAATGACAGTAGAATATAAACAGAACTAGGCTGTATTTCAATATTAAAAAACAAACAAACAAACAAACAAACAAACAATCAAAAAACAGAATGCAGAATTGGACAGGTTAAACTGTAATATCAAGCAACCACTCGGAAGAAAAGCAGATCAGACACTTGGTTCTTCCCACTATCATGGCTTAACGGCACACTTAGTAGTGAGAAACATATTGCCACATGCTGTGGTATGAGCTATATTATCTGCAACTCAAACACAATGGCTCGTGTGTATTCACAGCGTAAAGAATAAAATGTATTTCATTTCCTGGTGTGGTTCACATTTGTTAACTAACATATAATAGGTGCACTATTAGTTAAAAGATTATACGATTACATTAAAAGCAAACAGCTGTTGTGCAAAAATCAAGTGCATGTACTGCATATACTTTTCTGATGGGGTTATTCTATCTGCTATTCTTGAGCTATGTCACTCAGAAAAACATGCGAGATAGCCATCACTCGTGATGTGCGGTTCGCGAGGAATTCGTTCATATTGAACTCACGAATCACTCTCTGCGAATGAATCACCCACTGGTTACTCCCGCACGTAATGAGTGAGTGATTCATTTTCAGCGTCCATCCGCAAGCCTGGTTCTTTTGTCACGTGACATCCGACATAAATTATTCATTCATGAAATCATGATTGGTGATTTTCAGTTCACGTACATCCCAACAACTTCTTTTTGGTCAAGGTAACATATAAACACGATAAATGTTATACATCTGGCCTCACTGGTTGTTATTGGTTTGAGATAAAACAAAGTGGAGCTATTGAGGAAACACACAAATGTACACATACAACAACACACAGGCGGAATAGAACAAGGAGCGACAAAGTAAAGCGACAAG